AAGAAAATGGCAAATGACTCCAGTATCTTTGCCAAGAAAATCCCAAATGGGGTAATGAAGAGTTGGGCACAATTGAAAAGACTGAGTCACTACAATGACACATATTTTAGAATTCCCAACCTGCAATTTAGGAGCACAGGTTTCCTACAAGAGGTTAAATGTAGTTACAAGAAATTTCTCATGCTAAGTAAGATAGTTTTCTGGCACCATGGACTTTGAGTTAGGACCAGAAACAGAAAGTCAAAAGAACAGATTTAATCTTTGCCTGGGATACTCTTTCTGGCTTTTGTCTATTGCCTTCAGCCAGGTGTTCTACTATGGCCTAAGGAATTGTTAGCATGCATTTTCTTAGGGAGAGGAGCAGGTCCCTGTCCTGTAGTAAAGAGGTGCTAAGGACCTAGGAGATGGTCCTGAGGGACTAAAGCCCATAAAATGAAAGCAAAGAGAAGCCCAACAAGCAACAGAACAGTGGATATGCCCACCAGAGATATTGTGAAAAAGGCCCAAAGAAGAATGTGAATGCTATCCTTAGAACAGAGGGGGTGTTCAGCTTAGTTCATGGGAGTAGCAGAGAAGAGTGTGATGATGCCACTGGAGGACATCAACGTCCCTGAAACAGCTTGAGTATGAGCTGACATGGTCACCACGTCTCCTATATGCATGGCTTTTACATGTGGGCACCTAGGTACATGGATTCCTTGCATTTATTCCTTTACAGAGGACTTAGGTTTATCTATATTTACCTACCTATGTCTGTATCTATCATCTCTCTCAATATAAATATAAATCTATCTGTCTATCTCTCTATCTCTCTATCTGTCTATCATCTATATTTCTATCTATCTTTCTATTTTTCTATCTATCTATCTATCTATCTATCTATCTATCTATCTATCTATTCATCTATTCCTCTTCACCCTTCTTCCCTTCTGTACAGCATGTACAACTTCCCAGGTGTTAAGGCCCTCTTGACCAAGGCCTTCCACCTTACAGACTTTTCCCTTTTGAGTAAAGGAGGATGTGTAGTAAACTAAGTCTTTATAAGAAGATGACATAATCCATAATCACATCAATAGAGAGGCTTAAAGTGACACACGCATACACACAGAGAAAGATACATACATATATATATATGTAATATGATAGATATAGGTAGGTAGATATAGATAAACAAGCATATGCAATATACACATATATGTATGTTATGTGCATGTATGTATATATGTATACACACATTCATTTGGCATGTATGCCATCCTTGGTTGTGTGTGTATATGGGTCCTCTTTATGTATCTTCCTTTACCTGTGGGAGAGTGTGCCCCACACATGCATGGAGGGATTTTTAAAATGATCACTTTATGTGCTATGCTGTTTGACCAAATGTATTTGGTTCTCAAGTAAATGTGTTGGGGCAGCTAGGTGGCATAGTGGGTAGAGCATCAACCCGGGAGTCAGGAGGACCTGAGTTCAAATCCGGCCTCAGGCACATAATATTTCCTAGCTGTGTGACTCTGGGCAAGTCACTTAACCCCAATTGCCTCTCTAAAAGAAACAAAAAAAACTGCTTTTGAAGTAAATGTGTCCTATAGTTGACTGCTAGAAGTAAACATGTCGGTGGAGGATTTTTAGCTATGGTGAATGCTGACACATTGAGTGTTTCAAATCTAAGGGAGCTTTTCTGGAGGCCTTCACGGGAGACAGAGTTTCCCAGATGTGATTCAGTTCCTGTTGAATATCTATTGGACACCTGCTATTTGTAAGGATAAATAAAGGATAGTCTGCCCTCAATGATCTTATCAAAAAAATTTAGGCAAAAGAGAAAGTTCAAATAGTTTGGCTGTCTGCCTCAGCGAGGGTGATGGGAAAAACTAGCAAATAAAATACTCCAGTGATATACTCAGGCCAGTCATTTTTGAACCATTACAGTTGTAAAAATGCCTTTCTGTCTTATTGTCATTTTCTTTTAGTTAGATTTTCCTAACAAGGATTGTGGCCATGCAAAATTTTAGTTTCGTTACCCCAGGCACTGTTTTTGACTCTCTCAAATACAAATAAAAGTCAGAGAGCTTTTCTTAGAGTGGAAAATGTGGATGCTTTCCCACAGTCACATAACTCAATCACATAATGGCCAAAGTGACTTAGCTCAGAATCTGGCCTCACCAAAAATAAAAATAAACATCACCTTATTGGACTACAATCATTCGGAAAGTTTAAATGCTAATCAGAGAAAAAAGTGATAAGCAATTAAAAATATGAATGCTTAAGAATTTGATTTTACTTTTAATGGTTGGTATCATCTACACATCTACACATATTACTATTAAAGTGGTAATTTCTAAAATATTTTCCATTTTTATTGGAGAATATTTATATGGTTGACTATGGCTAAAGATTTACATCTCCAAGGTCAGCCAGAATCACCCTTATCTCCTTGACTGGAAAAATGGAGATAAGGCTGTGTAAATTTAGTGTCAGAGACCCTCAAGTGAAACCAAAGTCACAATTTCTGAAAGCCAAATTTTAATTGCTGTGCCTTTTCCTCCTCACCTTTCTTCCCTTCTGGACAGGTGTCAAGGCCCTTTGACCAATGCTCCCCCTTACAAACTTTTCCATGAGACTGGATCAAGACTAAGCCTTTATAAGAAGAATGCTGGAGCAGCTAGCTAGCTAGCTAGATAGATGGCGCAGTGGATAGAGCACCGGCCCTGAAGTCAGGAGGACCTGAGTTCAAATACAGCCTCACACCAAACACTTGACACGTACTAGCTGACCCTGGGCAAGTCACTTAACCCCAACTGACTAAAAAACAAACAAACAAAAAAAGAGAAGAAGATGACATAAGCCATAATCACATCAATAGAGAAGCTTAAAGTGACAAAGCACTTTCCCTGCCTCAACCTGCGAGGTAGATAATGCAAGTATTATTACTCCTATTCTGAAACTAAGTCTGAGCTGAGGTGGAACTCATAGTCATGGTCAGAGTTAAGACTTGAAGCGAGGTTTCTGGGTTCTACATAATATGCTTTCCATTACACCACATTGCCTTTTTAGTGCCAAGAACAGTTCTCAGTGCCTAGGATAGTATTTGACATATAGTAAGCTCTTAATAAATGGCTACTGAGTGAAATGAATGAGTAGATGAAGCAGCAAAAATGATAAATGGAATACATAATCAATTCTTTGAAAATATCTGCCTTTTTGCCATGACATACCAAGAGCATCAGTTGCTTAAACCAGGTCAAACTCAAAACAGAAATGGACTCCTGCTGGCTGTATATTGACTTAAAACTCACCAATTAACATTATCTATGTTGTGTTGCATTTTTATCTATTTTGTTAAACATTTCTGGATTACATTTTCTGCTGGTTCAGGCCTCACTGGGGAGTTTTGTTGTCCTTATACACCTCTGACTTAACATGGTAACTCAAAAGCATTGATTCTAAATCTAGATGGGTTAACTCCATCAATTCAGACCACACCACCGAAAGGGTTTGCTTCCTGTAACCCTTCAGCTGGAATGAAAATATAAATCATCTGTGAGACATAAGCTCTCCAAGAAACCAAGAGGATTAGAGGACTGTAGATTTAGAACTTAAAGGGTCATTAGCATCTGTTTCATTTTACAGATGAGGAAACTGAGGGCCAGGAAAATTAAGTGACTTACTCATAGACACACAGTTAGAAAGTGACACAACTTTATTGTTATTCTTCAGAGGCCCAGGGGCTTAAACTTTAGAGCTCAATGCTGTTACAATAATAATAATTGCACTTTACAAATATTATCTCTTTCGATCCTCACTACAGCCCACATCTTGAAACTCACTATAGCCCAGGTCCTGTTATATATATTTTACAGATGTGGAAAGTAAGGCAGATAGAGGGTAAGTGACTTGCCCAGGGTCACAAAACTAATAAGTGTTTGAGTGTGGATTCCTGATTATAGTTGGGGCTGCTAGGTGGTGCAGTGCATAGAGTGCTGGGCCTAGAGTCTCGTCTTCCTGAATTCAAATCTGACCTCAGACACTTATTTGCTGTGTGGCCCTGGACAAGTCACTTAACTTTGTTTGTCTCAGTTTCTTCATCTGTAACATGAGCTGGAGAAGAAAATAGCAAACTTCGGTAGTATCTTTGCCAAGAAAACACTAAATGGAGTCATAAAGAGTTTGAAACAACTGAACAACAAAAACCTATCTGCCTCTATTTGTTATTTGTTCTCTTATTTCCTCTTCATTGTTATTTATTCTTTCATCCTCTACTAGAAGAACATGGAAATAAGTACTATTTGCCTTTTTTTTTTTAAAGTTTTAGAAGATTCTTCTTTAGAAGAATCCATTACCTATAAAATCACAACCTCAAGGCAAGCACACATTCTTTACAAAATCTCTGGGTAATGGACATACCTTCCATTAGAGCAGGTGCTGACATGCATAGGATCTTAGAAATTCTTAGGATCTTAGAGGTGGAAGGGAATTAACTTTCATATGATTCAGCCTGTTCATTTTACAGTTGAGGAAACTGAGGCCCAGAGAGATGATGTGACAAGCACAAAGTCACACAGGTGCCAGTACCAGAGCCAAGATTTGAATCCAGTTCCTATCTTTTTTTTTTTTGTGAGGCAATTAGGGTTAAGTGACCTGCCCACAGTCACACAGCTAAGAGTCAAGTGTCTGAGGTCAGATTTGAGCTCAGGTCCTCCTGACTCCAAGGCCTGAGTGCTATCAACTGCACCATCTAGCTGCTCCTCCCTTTCCTTTCAAATCCAACACTGATACCATGCTGAGAGCACTGAATGGCCAATAACACTGTCTTTCTCAAGGAATGTGTAGCACTGAAAAGGTAATTTTCTCCTGAATTTAGTATCCTAGCACCCAAAGTCAAAGATTGTGATTCTCTACATGATAAAACGAAAAGCAAAACAAAAAATTCCATAGTGATTCTTTTCCTCGTGTTCCTGGTGACAAAACTCCATGTACAGACATTTTCACAGGGACTCACTCACCTTTGAGCTGCATTTGTACAAAGGGTGACTGATAGAATCCACATAATGATGCCTCATGCAGCGCCCAGGGTCAGAGTCCATCATGAAGGCACTGTCCATTTTGCTGTCTGTATCTCCCACGATCGCCAGCAGGGAGAGCATTGAAATTGATGCTGCTAGTACATGATTTCTCATTGTTGTAAAATAAAATAAAATAAAATAAAAAATTCCCAGTAATAACAGCAGAGGGAGGTAGAGTATTAAAAGAAAAAAAAAACACCTTTAAATCTCAGGACCTAGTTCTTTTCAGGGAAAATGCAAAATCTGGCCGAGGCCTCTCGGTTGTCATTGTCCTTTGGATGCTGTGTTCTTTGGCACTGGGAGGAGGCAAAAAGGTTTGCTGCTTGTAATCCTTCACAGCAACCCCTGCACAGCTGGAATGAAAATAGAAATCATCTGTCAAACATAAACTTTCCCAGAAACCAATAGGATTAGAGGGCTGGAGATATAAAACTGGAAGGGACTTTGGAGTCCAATCCCTTCATTTTATAGATGAGGAACCTGAGGACCAGGGAAGTTAAGTGACTTACAGACACACAGGAAGTGACACAAATAAAATTTGAACCTCAAACTCCAAAGCCAGTCTATTATTATTGCTGTTATTTGTCTTATTACTATTATTCCCCCATTCTTTTTCTTTTTTTTCATTTTTAGGCAATTGAGGTTAAGTGACTAGCCCAGGGTCACACACCTAGTAAGTGTCAAGTGTTTGATCTGAGGCCAGATTTGAACTCAGGTCCTCCTGACTTCAGGGCCAGTGCTCTATCCATTGTGCCACCTAGCTACCCCAATTCTTATCTTTTTCAATGGAACAGTAATTATAGTATAGTACATTATTATTTTGAACAACAATAAGAACAATGATGATAATAGTAATAGGATACTGGCAATCTAAAAATGTTTTATCGAACCAAAAGTCATTATTACAGTAGATCCTAAGTTCATCTCAAGGCACTTTTAGCAAGTCCAAGTTACTTTAGTGATAGGGCTAAGTTGCCTTTAGGCTACACCTCCCCCAACCCCAAACTCCCAGTTAGTAATTCACTGAGTATATTTGTCCCAATCCAATGGCACACTCTGATTTAATGGGAGCATGTGGTTGCTTTAATTGGTTAAAAGCATATTCTTAAGAATAAGTATAATTTGTTCTCCATGTGAAAGACAAAATTTCTTTTATAGCCACGAATGTGAGTGAGTTGGGTGGTCTCATTTCTTTTCCTTTTGGATGTTTGTCCAGTTTCTCACTAAGCCATCAGTGACAGCCTCAACTCACCAGAGATCTGGCTTTAAAAACCCTGAGAAAACAAGGAGGATGCAGGGTCAAAAGTAATGAGCAATCCCTTAGGGGTGGAATCACAGCTCTCATTCTCTATCAGTTAAACACTTTATTTTTTCCCATCTTTGTGTGTCCACCCACCTAATGTTTCACTTCTGTTATTGTCTCTAAGCTGTGTGCCATCCACTTAGATGAGATGCTACATCTGAAATATACATTTTGCTTCATGTTGCACCCTGGTGCATCTTAAAATTCCTAAAGGGAAACATATGGTGTTTGTGAGCCAAATCCCACATTTCTGATGATTCCCTTTATTCTGAATACGTGTAGGAATTTGGAAGGGCAAATGATGAGAAAAGGTTCCTCAGTGATGTCATTACAAGTTCATTTGCCATAAGGAGAAGAGAACAGAAGTCTCCCAGAATTATTTCACTCTAAAACCCTCATGCTGCATGGAAAGTATGGGTGCCACAAAACAAAAAGAAGCCAGATTATATACCAAATATTAAAAATGTTTTCAAAAGTTTGGGAAATTTAGGGGCTATGACATTATATCCTAAATAAAGGAGCATAGTAATGACAAGTTCAGTCTTCATGAAACACTTGAGACAGGTGATTTTAATTGTATTCCTTATTGAGGGTAGAAAATAGTTTCTACTTTATGGGTAACAAAAAATATCAAGGCATGATGCCAGTGGGGCCAAAATCACAGGTTCTATCATTTTGATAAACTAGTTAACTTTGCTTTGCAAAGGACAGCCTTGGTTAGGGACTACAGTCCTAGTTCTGACCAGCCATTTCCTATATATGGAACAGTGACGACAGTGCAACAGAGTGAGAGTATGGATGGCTCAGGGTCAAGTATCGAATATTTTGAATTAAATTTTCAGTATTGGGGGGAAACCCTTTATCAAGTGTATTATAGGTAGGATCCACAACTTGGGTAAAGGTTGTACTCTTGAGGTCCTTTCTAATCTAGTAGAAATTCTGGCAACCTAGAGCAAATTCATTTGGGGGAAGAGGAGTCTAGTCATAGACAATATAACTCAGTCCACATCTTTCCCTCGTATCCTGGGAGGAGAAAGTTGGGAGAGGTGGCAGTTGACAGAAAAGACAATGGAGGAGGGTAGGACTTCAGAGATTCTCTCAGATCCTGGAAGGAGAAAGTTGGGAGATTTGACAGTGCGTAGAAAAGACAATGGAGGAAACTGGGACTTAAGAGTGGGTTGCTACAGTAATGGGTCCCTCAAGGTTAGCAGCCCAAGGTTAAGCAAGGGAGCAGGATTATTTGAGATGAGGATTCAAGGGTCCAACTCTGATGTAGGCTGTACAGATAAGGAAACATAACATGGGAAACAAGGTTATCTTCTGTGTGTTAGTGCCCCTAGCTAAGGTCTTGGTTGCCCTATCCTAGTCGTGGTTCTGTATCCAATTCTGATTATATGGTTCTATGCATCCTGCAGATTCTCCTGTTTGATAATAACATTGTGTTGATTGCATCAAGATCTAGGACATTATGGATCTTTATGGAAAAGATCAGTAATTATGAAAATAACTTTGGTCTGTCTAAAAACACAGGAAAAACCAAGTGGATAAATATCTTACTAGTGCTGAATATATAGTAGGTGCTTACTAGATGTTTATTAATTGAATGATTGAAGATAGTCTATTGCCCAGATTTCAACATGAATTTGGTTGGATGCCTTATATATCTTCTCCAATCGTATGCATACTCTCTGGAACAAACAGTACAAATGGACAATAAATTGGGCTTAGAGTTGACAATGTGAAGGGGAATGGGTTGGTTTGCTTTCCGGAATCACGTATCTCTTTTATTGACACCTAAGCTTCAAATGAAATCTTTTTGAATTTGGACAATGTTATTTGTAGAAATGGGAAGAAACCAGTTCTGACAGAATTTCTGAGATAGTAGCCCCTTAGAGAAAAATATTTAGAAACCAAGACAGTTTTGAGAAGACCTGAGGAAAAAAGCTGTCATCAAATAACAAATCATTACCGAAGGCAAAAATATCTGAAGTATCTTATTTCTCAGTAGCTAACATATAATTAATTATGAGGATTTTAAGTTGGTAGTTGGAAAACTGATAATTAGAACTTTTGGTAAATATGGGACAATTTTATATTGCCTATTTGTAGTTTATCTGAAAATAATGTAAATTTGGAGTTCTCACCCCAAGACAGAGATGGGTCATTTCGAGCCAGAAGAAGAATAAATAGATGAGTAAAGAGAAAGAAGACAAGGAATAAGACAAAAACAAAGCAAAAACTGCACCAGTCGGATGCTTGAAAGAAGCAGAGTGGAGGAGAGCTAAGCCCAACCGAGCCTGGAGAAGTTTGAAACTCAGAACTGCAACTTCTCTGTCTGCTACTTTGAAGGAATTTGAGCCTGGTAGAGTGGGTGGCTCATAGAAAAGTTATCAAAATGAAAGCTGAAAAAGGCAATGCTGAGATGTCTAGAATGAGACAGGCTTTGTATCTGTGGGCAGAATAGAGGGAGGGGGGAATCTGTGTTGATTGGAAGGACAGTCCTGTTAACCGAAAGGGCTGATTGGAAGAAAAACAATGTTGCTGGTAGCTGATTGGAGGAGCAATAATTTCTGCTGCTTAACAGAGAAGGAGGGGATTTCTCTTTTCTAACTCCTATGGACCTAGAGAAGCAAAATCCCTCTGAGGCTTGTCTTCTTTGCCCTTTGCTGTTGCCAATGACTTGAGAAAGAAAAAAAAACTTTCAGATTTTAGCCAAGAGAGTAGACCAAATAGCTCTGCAAACATCAGCCTTAAAGTTATTTCTTTTGCTTAAAGAATATATGACACTACCTTAGAACTGGGTCAAAGAGTGATTTGAACAAAATATTCAGTGGAGAAAGGCCCCACCCAGCCAGGACTTGCAGTGCAGTCTATTCCCTAAGGAGACCTAGGAACTCAAGGTCTGCAGTCCAGAGTCATGAGCTGACCAGAGCACTTGAATTTCCCATGTACCTCCTTGATAGGTTTCTGTAAGTTTGTGCCTATCTTTCTCACACTCACTTTGTGAATTAGTGAAAGAACAGAACCCAAGTTTTATGGATCAATGGCTATATTATGATTATTATTGCTTTTCCTTCTGTTTAGTAAATATTTCATAATTAAGAATTAATGCTATCATTTAATGGGAAACATATTGACAAAGGCTCAGGAACTATAGTTGTGAGTAGTAGACTTGTATCAACTACACAACAATTATTCCTAATACCCTGATAGAGAGAGTTATGGATGGCAGTTTGGCCGCCAATATGAATACAAGTTGGGTGAACTAGCCAGCCCAGAGGGAGTAGAGAGAGAAGTTGGTAGGTATGGCTACTGATAATCTTGTAGAGCCACACATGTATTATGTTAACATTTCACTGCTGTTGTTGTTATGTGAAAGTGAGGTGGGGAACACCCTTGCCTCTGAAGAATTAAAACTGAATATTATATAGAGGGCATTGGAGAAGCACATGGTAGGTTTGAGCAGGTGGCAATAAATGATAAATAAGGAACTCTGAAGAGGAACAGGAATAAAAGACATCAAGCAATTGTACATCAGGAAGAGAAGAGCAAGGGAGGACAAGCGGGCAGCCAGCGTATATCATGGTTACCTTCAAATTGTCACAAGAAATCATAAAAAGTCTCTAGCATATGAAGTGGACTCTCAACGGTAAACTTTGGGAATAATAGGAACAAGATCCAAATAGGATGTGCAGGCATGGATAGATGGCAATCCGTAGAATTGGAGGGGATGCCTTAAATGATGAGATCACAGACTGAATACTTGAGTATCCTCCTACTGTTGGGGAATTTGTGCATGGAATAAAATGAG